TTTATTTTTCCCTAGTTTATGTACTAAGATTGTATTTATGTCATAAAAAGATTTTGGTAGGGTAAACATTTTCTCAACTTTTATAACTAACCTGCAAAGCTTTTTAAAATTTTGCTTAAATTTTCCTGCAGAAAATTCCTCAGTAACAGAAGTTTATGTTTTCTTCAGCAGTTTTTTTTAGTAACTAGATCTATTTCCTTTTCTGAGATTGGATTATGTAAGAACTCTCTCTGTTCTACTGATAGTTTGGATATTTTATACTTTTGAAGGTATAACTTTATTTCTTTTGTTTTGTTAGCATATAACTGTGCAGAATATTCTTTTTATTTCTTCTGATTTTGCTATTTTGGGCATTTTATTTTCTGCTCTGATATTTTTAATCAGATTAACTAAGAGTTTACCAATTTTATTAGTTCTTTCAAAGAATCACCTTTTAGTTTTACTTATCATTTCTATGGTTTTTTCTTCATTTTAAATTTATCAATTTCCCCTAATTTCATTATCTTCTATTTAGCACTTACTTTAAATTTGTTTATTGGCTTTCTAATTTTTAAAATTCGTATGCCATTCATTAGTCCTCTTTTTCATTTTGTTAATGCATGTTTGTAGTGATATAATTTTTCCTTTGATTACTACTTTAGGGCATCTCAGAAATTTTGGTATGTTGTTTTATCATGATTTTTTCTTTGACTCATTCATAATTTAGAATTTCATTGTTGTCTCTATTTGGGTGTCTTTTGTTTGTGGTTCCCCAGTCTATTTCATTTTTTTTATTGTTTTATAATCTATAAAGAATTTATTAATTGTTTCTGCATTTTTACTTTTGTTTACAATATGGTTTGAGCTCAGATTTGCATAGTAGGTATTCCTGGGCTGCATCCTGAGCTCCATTGCTCTTCAGAATATATTATTCCATTCCCTCCTAACTTTTCTGGTGGGTGCAAAATTTGTATTATTTGAATTTTCTTCTCTTTGTATTTGAAGGTCTTTCTCTGGGTCACTTGCAGTATTTGTTATTTTGAATAGGAACTGTTAAATTTAGCTACTATATATATTAAGTTTGCAGGCTTGCTTTTTTTTTTCCCCTAGACGCAATCTGTGAATTATTTAAATTTGTATTTAATTTTCTATGTTAAGAAGTTCTGAGCAATTCTATTTTGTTATTTTCTTCATTATGGTATTAAGATCTTTTGTCATTTTGTGTTCTGGGAGATCTATAATTCTTAGGTTGTCAATATGCATTCTGTCTTCAATAATTAGTAAGTTTTGCTTGCATTTTGGGCATATTTTCTTTTAATATTAATGTTTTTTCTTTCTTCCTTTTCTACATCAGACCTGCACAACTTGGCGGTAGGTAGGGGCTAAAATTAAAATACACTAAACTTCTTTGGGTTGCAGATAGGTTAGACTAAAGACAGACTGACAATGGTTGGTTGCTGTAGGTCATGTAGCAAACAGGAGAGAGTGTGCAGTGGCAACCCTGCATTTTTTGTAGGCCTCCTCAAATCCTTTGTCAGGCTGCAAGCACTCTCCAGTCCGTATGTTGTGCAGGCCTGTTCTAGACTGTCCGTGACTTCTTATATTTGCATTCCCTATCCATTGTTTTTTCTTTTATTTCTTTGATGAGAATTTCCACCACAGATTCCAGTTTTTTTCTATTCTGCCCAATATTTTTGCTTTGCTAGACATAAATTTTCCTCTCATAATTCCTATTTTGAATCACTCAGGAACAGTGTGTTGTGGTTCCAAGTTTTCCTCACATTCCAGAGTCTGTCTTAAGTGATGAATTATTTTTCTTTGTTTTGCAAGTATTTATTCATGGGTTATTGAATTTGTTTACTAGACCTGGAGGCTGTATCTCCTTCTGTTATTGTTTTTCTTGTTGATATTTCTGTTATATTCAAGTTTTTTTAGTTTTCTTGTTCCTGAAATTGTTGGTGATTTCAGTCTCTCTCTGCCCCCCCCCCCCCCAGCTCCAATGTCCAGGATTGTTTACTTCCTGACTCTTTCCCCTCTGATGGTGGCTTCTTTGGAGGCTAAGTCTCAGTGTCTCAGACTTCTCCCATATTGGACAGTTCACAGTTTTCCAGCCTAGGTCTCTGTCCTGAAGCGACTTTTGGGGGATCAGAAGTGGCTCCAGCTCTTCTCTTTCCCTCACACTTAATGGAGTTCTGCTCCCCCTCGCCCCTCCACCACAAGGAGTCCTGTCCACTTCCCAGTTTCTTAGTTCTCTGGCCTGTCACCTGCAGTTCAGACAGCTTTCACTCTGGTGCTAGTGGGTTGTCCTCCCCAGTACCAGCAGTTCAAAATTTTGCAGCTTAGCCTCTAGCAGACTTTTGCTCCTAAAAGACTGAGACTGCACTGGGTATCTGTCACAGCTTTGGGAAACTTCTGAAGCCCCGAGCCTGAGCCTTGACAACCCCGGGGAAAAGGAAGGATGAATCAGGGTGAGTGTTGGGCTTTTTTGTGCTTTCTTGGATCTACTAGTGCAGCTTCTCTTCCACTAGCATGGTAGGTGTGCTGAGTGAGCTCAGAGTCAGTGAGCATCAAATCATAGGCTTTTAGGGTTTTTTTTAAAACTTCTTTTGGATTCTGGTTATTCCAGTCCATGGAGACAGCTGAAATTGCCTTATCTGTGGTGTATAATTTCTATTTTGGAGAGACCTAAGAGGTCATGGGAATTAGAGAAACTATCTAGTCTTCAATCTTATTATTCATATGATCCAGAAGTCCATGAACTGATTATTAAGGTAAACAGACACAGGAAAATTACTGTTACTAAATTTAGAAATGTTCTTGGATCTCAAGGTTTTCTTATCTATTTTATGTCATTGTGTGCATATTACTTCATCGCAAGCACTTCAGACAATTTATCTCATATATATGTATATATGGGGAGGAAGGATTATTATTTGGAAATAGTATTTTTTTCAGTTCTTCCAAATCCTAGATCATATCTTTTGCTTGTGAAGTTTTCCAAATCTTTTTGGGCATTCAGAATCTCCTCCACAACGAAAAACAAACAAGAGCAAAGAATACTTTGTTGAATGAATGAATATCTAGAGAAATGTGCAGAAATTTTATAGTGCATTTGTGTGTGTGTGTGTGTGTGTGTGTGTGTGCGCTTTCTAGGGGAAGATTTTGATATGTTTTTCCAAGTGTGAGAGCTATTCTGTCTTGACATGTGTTGAAGCCATGGCTATTTCTACCTCCCTATCCTGAGAGGCAGAATCAAATCAGTGAGTATGAGATGCTGGGGTTATATTGTGATTCACTTTTCATAAAAGAAAAGGGGAAAAAAAACATCATGTTATAGCATATAGAGAAAAATTTTGGAGTCAGAGAGCAGCAAAATCTTGCTTCTGATATGTGGAATGAATACTAGCTCTAAAGTCAGAAGATCTGGATTCAAATATTGCCTCTGGCACTTCCTACCAGTGTGACCTTGGGCAAGATGCTTATCCTCTCTGGGCTTCAGTCTATTTACATTCAGAAAGAGAGGGCTAAACACTAATCCAACTAGATAATTTCTAGGTTCCCTTCTAGTTCTAGATATATGATCCTATGTCATAGTCTAACTCTGTGACCATGGGCAAGTCATTTGACATCAGAGGCAATGTTCTAAATTGCACATAAATTGCTGATTTTCCATCTTTGTTAAAGAATGCTTCCTTTACTGATGAAATCACATGTCTGAATCACACAATGAAACCTCCAAAACTCTCTCTAGGGAAGAAAGGAAAGAAGGAAGGTAGGTAGGTAGGAAGGAAGGAAGGAAGAAAGGAAAGAAAGAAGTATGGAAGGAAGAAAAGAAGGAAGGAAGGAAAGGAGGAAGGGAGAGATGAAAGGAGGAAAGAAGGGAGGGAGGAAGGAACAAAAGAAAGAATGAAGGGAGAGAGAGAGAAGAAGGAAAGGGAGGGAGGAAGGAGAAGGAGGAAGGAAAGAAGTAAGAGACGGAGGGTGGGAGTGAGATGGAAGGGAGAGATTGAGAGCAAAAATAGAAAGTAGAAAAACACCTAGGATAGTCAAGAGTAGTATTTTCTCAATCTCTTTGGAACTGGGTTTCTATTGGGAGAAGCAGAGTCAATGTCATTAATACTGTGAGGACTGTTAGGATTTGAACAATGTTTATCTTTCACCTGTAATAGCTTGACATAATGGATGGAGTTTATTGTTTATTGAAAATCATTTCCCCCAAAAATTAACCAACAAATTCATTCATTCAACAGTATCTTCCATGTACAAAGCAGAAAACTCTCCCTGAGCTTGCATCCTAGTTATGAAACCAAGATATGATATGTACATAGGGAAAAAAATAACTAACTCAAATAACTCAAAATAACATAAAGTAGTATTTAACAAGTGAGATGCAGTATGGTAAGGACCCAGCTGGAACTCAGGAAGACTTGGGTTCAAGTCAGACCTTTGACACATATCAGCTGTGTGACCATGAGCAAGTGCCTTAACCTCTCATTGTTCCATCAAAATTTGAAATTACGGACAAGTTGTCAGTTTAAATTTACTGAAGGGATTTCCATACTAATAGCTCCTACACCAATGAAATCATGCATCTGGACCTATATATCTATTAAATGCCAAATAAATGAGTAGCAAAAGAGCACAGTGGGCTCCTAATATCAGGGTCAGAGGTGACACTGAGCAAAAGGGTAGGGATTAGATAGAAATTTGACTCAAAATGATCTAGTTTCAATTCCTACTGCTGAAGGTACTGGCTGTGTAATCATGGACAATTAACTCCTCATTTCAAGGAAACAATTCTCTAAGGCAACAAATTGTAGATTAGTTGAACTGCATTTGTAGAGAGAGTTCACTGATAAGTAAATCTGGACCAGGAAAAAACAAACAAACAAACAAACAAAAAATATCCTTAAGCTGAGAAGGAATGCAGTTTGTAGCAGAAACTGGAAAACAAAAATAAAAACTGTGGTCACATGGCTCATGGCTGGACTGACCATGTTTTTTTTTCACTCTAATTTCAGGGATGGTCTCTAGAAATAGCCGCCGTCCCTGTAGTGTATTCAACTCACTTGGGGTCCATGGAGGGCTCCCTCGGAATGAAACCACATTTGCAGCCACCCTAAAGAAGCATGGTTATAGCACAGCACTGATAGGTATGTGGAAATCACTTTCAAAATTGCTTTTTCTTCTCATTCCTTCTTCCTGTCCCTCTATCCCTCCCAAAAAAGTTATAAGAAGTTGCAATACTGGCAGGCTGTGTATTTGAGGGAAGATCATTTATTTTAAAAGAGTTGATTGACATTAACAAATTGAGAAACTGAAAATAGCTATTCAACTTAGCTAAGAGTTTGGAAATGTATAATCAGATGTGTAATCTTGGCATATAATTAAATGTTTCTTTGTGTTCTTTTAGTGTAACATTAAAAGTACTGAAAGTACTCACATACAACTGAAATCTCATCATTGCAGGTATTCCCTCTGTCTATGCAAGTCTTAAGTCATCCATGCCTTCCCACCCTGGGCAATCATTGTTCTTGTTCTTTCATCAGTTTGATTCAGAAGCTTTGCCCAGGATCCTGGTGGCATTTCTCACTTTGTCCTGGCATCTGACTATACCAGTGGAGTTCATTACTGGTTGATTGAATGATGTGCTTGACAATGATTATCCTGCACTTTTGCTACACAACCAGTTAGTCAACTACATTTATTCATCACTTACATTATGCCAAGCATTGTATTAAGCACAGGGGAAACAAAGAAATGCAAATACATTCTCCCTTCCCTCCAAAAACTCAAATAGCTCCTTCACTTTTTCTAGTCCATTCTTTGAGAGTGTCTTTTACTGTCATTCTCTTTTGTAATGCCTAGCTATAACCTGCTCATACCCACCATGTGCCTCTCTATTAACCTCAATGCTGGCTCAAATTAAAGTTACATGTCTTTATGAGCTTTCTCTTTGCTCCAGACATTGCTATTGTTCCTTCTTAAAATTCCCTCCCCTTTACTGATCTGAATCCATCACCTGCCTCCAAGTCAGGATCAAAACTCTGCACTTATAAGAAGCCTTATATCCTATCAGCCCTACCTGACTAATCACTTCCTTCTGCTGCACCTGCAATATCATGTCTGCTTCATTGGCACAAGGACTATTACTGGCAAGATGCCCATCTTTGTGCAGTCTCCAAGAATCACTGCTGGCCACCTGATGAAGGATTTTACTCCACCTTCCTGCTAATGAGAATCAGGAACTGGGATAAGATCATCCCTCCCCCTTATACACACACACACACACACACACACACACACGTGCGCGCACACACACACACTATCATGCACACAGACACAGGCACACACATATATACACAACCTTTCTTACCAATATTAGTATTTAATGTATTCTCAGAGCCACCCTAGCTCTTCCCATCCTACCTCTCCCATACTGTCTTAGAGAAAAATTTTTTATTTAATTGCCAATGAAATTTTACCTCTATGAAAATATAAGGGATTGAGGAATTGGAGCTGAGAGGAAATCCAGCTATCAGCTAATCCAATGCCTTCATTTTACAGGAAAATAAATTGAGGTTCAGAGAGGCTCAATGACTCATCTAAGGTTATCCAGCTCATTAGTGGCAAAATGAGAATTAAACAAAGGTTTCCTGACTCCCACTTCTTTGGGCTTTTCACTATATCACACTATTATTCACAGACTCTTTGGAAAGAAAACCATTCCAGCTGTGCTGTGATTTTAATTTACTCTTTACCCTGCTTCCCCACCCCATCTTTCACAACATACTTTGGATAGAGCCATAAAGATGTGTGAGATACCTATAATTGTGTTTCTTCTCTATCACCTGGCTAATATCTATCTGTTTAGGAATAAGTATAGAACAAGTGCATACAAGTATATCAACACATGCAGCTTGCATTCTCACAACACATTTCAAATAGCATTTTAATATAAATTTTTTTTGTTATTTAAAAAACCCAAACCCCTATGAGCTAGAAAAGACAATGTAATCTCTGATTTAAAAACAAGGAAACAAAAAAACGAAGCTAAAAATGAGCATCTCCTAACAACTCAGTTACCTTTGAGAAACAAAGCAATCTTTGAGGAGTAGGAGATGAACTACTTGGAAAACAAAAGACCTTGGTTCAAGTCCCAACTTGTGTGAATTTGATGAGAAATTTCCTATCTCTGGGCTCAAGGTTTTTCATTTGTGAAATTAGGATGAGTGGGATACATGGTCTCTAAGTTCTCCTTCCAGTCTATCATTATATTACTTTGTAAGTAATGAAGACATTTACATCATATGGCAAGTGAACAGAAGAAGAACTGTAATTCTGTCTCCTAATTCTAGTTAAAGCTCTATCCTTATGTTCTCTGTATTTTTTTTTGACAATTCCCTGAAGTTCCCTGTGCCTTTGTTCATCTCTCATGAGAGGCCCCCAGGATAATTACCTCAAGTTTAAGTTATTGTGTAGCCCTGCATCCACTGAAAATAATAGCTCACAAATTCCCATTGATATACTTAAATGTCTCTAGTCAGTCAGATGACATAACTATTTCACATAACTATTATTCATAATAGTATAGTAAAAAGAGCATGGTGTATAATCTTTGTAATATATTATAGTTTTAGCTAATATTTTATTTAGGATTTTGGCATCCATATTCATTAATGAAATTGGTCTATAGTTTACATGACAACTTTATTATATATTTAAAAGGAAAAGCAAGTTGTACATGATAGATTTGCAGTTTCATGTATAATCATCTCTTTCTTTTTATTCTACTATGTTATGGAAATACTTTTATTAAGTTCAGAATAAAATAAATGAAATTTTTTAAAAAATAAAAGAAATGACATAATAGAGAAATGTCCCCATATACCTAGAGCATACTGTCCCATAAATACAAACATCATAAGTCATGATATGGGACATGCATAGGGTTCATCAGAGGGGTATACACATAGGGAACTTATATATCTAGGACATATGTGCTGAGTGACAACTCACTCTTCTGGTAATGCCATTGCACAACTCTCACTGGGCTTGCTCCCTACTGAGTGTGGAATTTTACTTCCCTGGTCCTTATTGATCTTCTGATGACTGCTGGTGAACACTGATAATGTAAACCTGATATTGCTTCACTGGCAATGGTGGGTGTTTATTCCACTGGTCTCATTCTCATGGTTTCTACTGGGAATTGTTCCCTGCTACCAGATATCTCATGTCAAGTTTATTTATTAGTACAGGTTCTCGGTTAGGACCTTTCCTAAAAGCCTCACAGCTTTTTGGTCATAGTCGCCATATCTGGCGAACAAAAGGCTGACAGAGTACTCTAAGGCTAAGATTAAGTATTTTCTTTAGGACTCTATGTCTAGGCAAACACCTACTTCCTCAAAGAAAGAAGTTTCCCCAAAGTCTTTTCTGGTTTAGCACACAAATGAATATAATACAAAATAAGAAACTATGGAATGTTCTCTACTCACTTCTCCATCGTTCTTGTTCTTATTATGCATGTCTGTGAGTAGCAAAATCCTTATTGCTTTGGTGAATAATTTTGGCTAGGTAAGTATAACTCTCATTGTATACTAATATTTGAAATAAGGATAACACAATTGCTCTAATCACCTCAAAAATATTTATGGGGCAATTTAAGTCAGAATAGCTGTATAATGAATAGATAATGTGATTGAAAGATCCTAAGAATCTTTTCCTCTTATAAGTACTATCATATCCAATTAGCAAAAGTCAAGCAGAGTACTTCCAGGCTAAGATTAAATTTTTTCTTTTGAATTCTGAACTGTACAAACAACTATATCTTTATTATGAGACATTCCCAAGATCCTCTCTGCTTTTCATACAAATAAATTTAAGCCACAACAAAAGATAAGCTAAGGTGCTCCAGGTGTTCTAGGATGCAGATGACATTGCACTGATTGTATCAAGCCACTGGATATTGTAGAGGCTTCAGGAAGAGATCTATAATCACTTAAAGAACTTTGGCTTTTCCATCAGCACAGAAAAGACCAAGTATATGAAGAATTCCTATTGTCTAGATCAACAAACATTTGAGTTGATACCCTCTAGAACTTGCCCAATGGTATTTATATCAACAAACAATATAGATGGCCAATGAGCTGATCCTAGTGGTGAAAAGTAGTAGGAAAGGAGGCTAAATTGTTTTCATAAAGTTGTAAAACTTTTTCACTGATCACATGTTTCAAACAAAACCAAAGTATCATCTCATCAATAAGTACCACTTTATGATTGCCACATAATGGTGCATGATATGGAATATGATTGCCCCTAAAGAACCTAAAGAAGGGAATCACAGAAAGGATAATTAAAAGGTGCATGGTGGGGGTGAGTGGGCTTCAACATATAACCAATAAGGAATTCCAAAGAAGTATAGAAATAAAGAACATCATCAAGGATCATCAAGAAGTATGAAAGGATGAAAAGATGAGCTGACCACATGGTGAGAGGTAGGAGACAGCAGAACATTCTATTTGTGCCTTCACTATATCTGGAGGAAGTAAAGAAGGCCTCCAATATGTTGAAGTGATTTCCTAAGTTGAACATTTGAAAGAACATGGAGAAGAGTCATACAAGATGGACATGCCTTGTCAGGTTCTGATAAACATCATTGAAGGGCACTCCCAAATAGAAGAGCTAGCTGAGTATATAGATAAGACTACTTCTTGACAAGGTCACAATTATGTTATTCCTCAAAGACAACCTTTAAATAATTTTTTGACAATTTTATTGGAAATATACTGCAATTTACTCATGCTAGCCATGCATGTGCCCATTGTCCTATGGAATATGTGCTGTTTTAATTCTTATTTAAACCAACAATCATTTGTTAAGCTTCTAAAATGTAACAGGTACTGGGGATACAGATATAAAAAAATAAAAATGAAAACTCCCCCTGCCTCCACAGAACTCATATTCTACTGAAACCCATGATCCTTTGTCATTCACCAAGAATTTTAAATAATTGTTAATAAGAAATTGCCATTTACATGGTTCTTAAGGTTTGCAAAATACTTTACATGCCTTCTATTGAGCCTTCTCTCCACTGCTATACCAAAAATATATCCATTCTACTAATCAGAAATAACCCTCCCAAAAAAACCCCCTCCAAAACAAAACACTGTGTAATAAATGAATCTGTTGAAGAAAAGCTTTTTAGGAAAGAAAATGACTTTGCATATATTGAATTTAATAGACATTTATTCAATGCCTATTATATGCATATGGTTTTAGATGACTTCTTTTTTTCCTATTTGGTTTTCAAGAAAAGGAAGATTCACCAAAAATGTCTTTAATACAGTATAAGGTAATATTTTCTATTTTCTATTTTTACTTTCAGGTAAATGGCATCAAGGTTTAAACTGTAAATACCGAAATGACCACTGCCATCATCCTAACCACTATGGCTTTGACTATTTCTATGGCACGCCACATACACTTTCTTTTTCTTGTAAGCCAGATTCCACCCATGATACAGAATTAACCTTAGCAAGTAAACTTTGGTTTTGCATGGAGCTAATCATCATTGCTGTGCTTACACTGACCGTGGGGAAACTAACTCATTTGGTCTCCGTAAACTGGTTGTTTATTATCTGCATTATTTTCTTTGGCTTCCTTGTGGCCTTTTTTTGGTTCTTCAGTTTTCAAAATTCTATGTATTGGAATTGCATTCTCATGAGACAACAGGAAATTGCAGAGCAACCCATGAAGGCAGAACGAGCTGGTACAATTATGATGAATGAGGCAGTTTCTTTTATCAAAAGGTAACAATTAAATTTTCTTTAGAGGCCTCTTTCTTTGGTCCTGTTTTTATTCATGTTTTAATTTAGATGCCTTAATGCAATGAATTTTTTACTTTGAGTTGGACAAATTTTTGACTTTGGCTTTGAATTTAATGACTCCCTTGGCTGTGACAGTGAAATGGCTTTGTGGTCCTGTAGAAAGGGCACTGGATTTTTTTATTGATTTCAGAATTAATTAAAATCAAAATTAATCTTTGAGCTCTAACCTTATGGTCCTCTAACATATAACAGACATTTACAATAATAATAGTTATTTATATGATGCTTTAAAGTTTATATAATTTTATATACCTCACAACAACCTTGTGAGGGGGACTGCTATTGACATATTCATTTGATAAATCAGGAAATTGAGGATCAGAAAAGTTAAATGACTAGGGTCATATAACTAGTAGATGTTTAAGGCCAGATTTGAACCCAGGTGTCCTTGATGACCAGTCCAGCACTATTCTCTGCCTCTTAAGTTATTGAAGAGCAACTCTGTGCAATGCCTTGTGGTAAACACTATAGGAGATAAAATGGAGGATAGGTTCTGTTTTATTTTACCTGTGTGGGGGGTTAGGGAGAGGCCCATGATAGTGGCAGCATATGGTCTAGGCCTTGAAAAATGGCTAAAAATTGGAGGGAGGAGCTTTAAATAAAACTATTCCAGAATGAGGAAACCAAAGGGTATCAGAAATTACATCAAAAATACCTAATCTTTCATGTTCTTGATTAGTAGTGACAAAAATTAGCAATATTTTCTTGGGAGTTTTCTGACAGAAAGTTATTTTAATTCTCTGGGGAAACATTAAAAACAGATATAATCTCTTCCAGTGATTAGTCATTATGTATACCATTATTTGGTATACAAAATAGAACTTTGAGGCCCAATTCAAATGTGGGAGCTGAACAGCTCTTTGGAGAAGGAAAAATAAGAAAGAAAAGTGAGGGAAAAGGGAAAATTAGCACTGTTGAACAGTTTACTACTACTGATAAGTTAAGTGGCAAAACTAAAATGAACAATCATGCCCCACCCTCTATCTCCCCCCCAAAAGATGGAAAAATCAGTCACTCTTCAACCCCAACCATTTAGGTACATTGTTCTCTTTGTATAGGAGTTATAAGGAACTAGTTCAACAGGTTCATGGTGGTAAAAAATACTTATGTAACCCAGTAAAGAACAGTTTAGTTTCACTTTAATCTAGTTAGGTGTTTATCATCCAGAAATTTCATAAAAAGTTATCATGACTTCAGAAAACCAAACTAAGGAAATCTTATCAGCAATCTCATCATGAAATCTGACTTTGAATTGGTATTAAACCTAGGCATGCTACACAGATAAAATAGTGTTTAGGTATATTTTCCTATTTTATTTTTCCTCGCCTCTTCATATCCAACTTCATAGATTTATTCCATAGTTTTTGAGCACCAGTTCTTTCCTCAATATAGGAATATCATTATCTTGTAGCTATACAGTGGTCATCATTGTTGTTTAGTCATTTCAGTAGTGTCTGACTCTTTGTGACCCCATTTTAGATTTTCTTGGCAAAGACACTGGAGTAGTTTGCCATTTGTTTCTCCAGCTCATTTTACACATGAGGAAACTGAAGCAAATAGGGTTAAGTAACTTGCCCAGAATCACACAACTAATAAATGTCTGAACTCAGATTTGAATTCAGGAAGAGGAATCTTTCTGACTCTAGGCCTGGTACTCTACCCACTATGTCACCTACTTACTCCTACACATATGTTGGGCATTACCCAGCTCAGGAAGTCAACTAGTATTTATTAAGTGCCTACTATGTGTCAGGAAAGTACTGAGGATAAAAGGAAAGGCAAAAACAAACAAAAACTTGGATTTTGTTCTTAGAGAGCTTCCAGTCTCCTGGGGGAGATAACATGGAAACAACTATGTACAGAAAAGATATATATCTATAGCTATATAAAGAGATATTTATATAGAGAGACACACATACATATGTGCATATGTGTATTTCTTATACACATAAACATATATAGCATGTATATATACATATAGACATATACATTCTATATATATGATCTCTATATGAAATATGTATACATATATATATATTTGTATGTGTGTGTTGTGTGTGTATGTGTATGTAATTGGGTGCAGCCTTAGAGGGACAGCCCTATGATTAATTAATTTGCTTATTCTAACTCTTGTTCGTCCAAGTTCTTGCAGAAAATTCCGAGAGAATTCTGATAATTACGAGAGAATCCTTTGGATCATGGATTTACAGTTAGACATTACTTTTAGATCAATGGTCTAAATGCCTTCATTCTCTGAGGGAAACTGAGGCCCAGAAAGGTTAAATGAGTTACCCAAACTCACACATTAGTAGGTTGCAGAGGTGAATATGAACCCAGGTACTCAGGGTCTAAATCTTTGTCCTAATTATCAGTTTGCATCCAATTTCTCATTTTACTGAGTCACCATTTTTCAATATTTCAAGGTTTTATTAATGCCTTTTGTACTCATATCACAGTACTATTTGGATGGACTCTCCCTCTTTTATCTATAACCTCTCAACACTTCCCTGCTTTCTTGTGTCTGAGTGACCATTTTTAAAAATGAACATTTTTCTGGTTGTATAGTAGTATAAACGCTTGGTATTCATTAAACCTAAAATATCTAGAATTATATAATTGACTGATTTACTCCAGAAATCTCCAAGAGAATTTGAATATAAACTATTAGTATTTGTCATATTGGTTATGATTCTATCTCTTCAAACCCAGTTTCATGGAAGAAATAAAATAAACCAAAACCTTATATAGCTACTACATCTCTACAACAACACTTTTATCCTAACACTTTCAAAAATCTCAAAGTACAGTCATTGCAGAAAGTTTGATAGTTGTAGGACAGATTAATGGAGGAATTGAGGATACATTCTTTGACAGTGCTTTCTTTTCTATATTTTCATCCAAACATTTTCAGCTCTTGGTTGAGTTATTATTTTAGAGAAAGAGGTTGGGATGGTGGGGAGAGTTTAACATTTAGGTCAGGAAAACCTGAAATAACAATCTTACCTCAGACTTTTTCTAGCTCCATGACCAAGGGCAAGGCACCTAAGCTCTCTATTTCCTCATATGTAAAATTTGGATGATAATAACTTTAATAGCCTACAGACATATAGGCATGTCAAGAAGGGTATGCTAGCCTGCCTTTGGTAGATTGCCCACAGTCTTCCTCTGAAGAAGAAGGGAGAAGCAATAGTAATGGTCCCCACATCCTGTCTGTATGGTGTGCCAGTATACCCTTGTAGGTATGTGTGTTCTCCTAAGGGTGGTTGTGAGGCTCAATTAAGATAATATATGCAAATCATTTGCAAAGTTTAAAGTCTCTATTAATATCATTATCATCATCATCATTATTATGATCATGCATCAATGAAAAGAACAATTTGTAAAGAGATTTTTATTAATGATTGTCTATAAGCTTTAAATAGAGGTTTTTTTCTAAGTTTTCTGGGTTTCTATGGAATGTGCTGATCAAGAGTCCTTTCCGTAATTTTTATATAGGACTTTATTGTAATTATATGGAGGACACCAAGAATAATCTAATCAATGTGAAGATAAGGAAAAAAATTTATATTATCATATTAATTATATTATCACAATTTCACAATATATAACATTATATTAATCTGTGTGTAGTTAAATTTTTAATCTCATGCAAAATCCCATTTGTTTCTGTCTTTTTAGAAGCAAAGATAGACCTTTCCTCCTTTTTTATTCTCTTTTACATGTCCATGTACCTCTTCCCACAACAAATGAGTTTATTGGAATTAGCAACCATAGCTTTTATGGAGACAATGTAGAAGAGATGGACTTTCTGGTGGGTAAGTGAAAGAACCTATTCCTATTACACAACATGTAGATGTCTGAGATATAATTATGAAGCTTGTCTTCAGCAGTCAGTCAGCTTCCTCTTTGTACCTTGCTGCCTTGGAAAGGACTCCCTTTCCCTATCTTTTCTTTGTTCTCAGCATCTTCCTCCTCTCTCTTCCCTTTGTTCACATTAGGGAGACACTGAGCAGCCTTCTGAAGATTTGGGAGTATTGGTTGTAGCTATAGGGAATCCATAATAGCAAAAGACACCTTGCATTTCACACTGCTGCCCTGATTCTTGGGTTGTATCAGTAAAGGAAAAGAGAAGACACATACATTGCTCGCCACTGTCACTGACTGGTAGAGCTATCAATTAGCATGAGAGGAGATATGAAATGTGATAAAAACTCTAATTAACTGGCCTGAAAGTGATGGAACATTCACTCAACCAATAATAATTATGGAAAGAGGTATTCATTAGTGTAGTCTTGCTTCCCATTGCCAGATCTTTTCATATCATTTTACTGTCTTAAGTTACTGAGGGCTTCCTTTTTTTTGGAACAGTACCAGGACTTGGGAGCACCCTTTGTTTCAATGTTTCCTTGAATCCTGACTTATCAAAATTGATTTTTCCTGTTTCTCATTCTCTATCTATTAGCTTCTTAATAGCATAGAAAAATGACTAAGATCACTCATGTTGCATAGGGAAGAATTGAATATCATCTATCTATCAACCAACTATCTATCTATCTATCTATCTATCTATCTATCTATCTATCTATCTATCTATCTATCTATCGTCTATCTATTGATGTGCTGTGGTAAAAGTTTAACAACTGGTTTAAAATATATGCACAATTATCATTTATTTATTTAAGGATTTGTTGGCAAATAGCATTGGAAGAAAGGAGGCCAGTGGATAGAAAGTTGAACTCAGAATCAGGAAGACCTGGGCTCAAGCCCTGTCTCTGATACATTCAGCCTGTGTGGCCTTGGGCAAGTTACTTAATGTCCCAGGTAACACTAAGACTATAAATTGCAAAGCAGGTAAGCTGGTATATTGGCAGGAGGCGTTTCCTTCCTAGGATTTCCCCAAACTAATATAATCATACATGTCAAAAAAACCCAACTCTATAAAATAGAATTTATACTTTGAGAGGAAATGAATAATCTAAGCATAATGGATCTGGTGCAGCTTGCTTGAGGGATGTCATTACTCCATATGAAGGACCCTTGGTAGTTGCTTCAGAAGAATTGCATTGACATATAACTGAATTTCATTAGAGAGCTTGTGGAATACATGGAGAGCATTCTGTAACTAAGTCTGGTGGGCTAACCACATAGAATAGTTCTATCAGTTTAGCAAGCTGAGAGGTTTGTGAATGTGTTAGATCTTCATGATATAATAATGATATTTTATAGAATATCATGCATGTCCTACATTACATTACCTTTATCTCCTATCAAAATGTGTATTACATATCTGTATTTGTCTTACAGTAGTTTCTATAAAATGTGACTTTACAGGTTCAAAATTAAGTTCATTTTCTATCAGTTGATAATTGAGATGGCTTTTGTAAATCATTTTCCTTTATAGAAATGTTGGTCATTCATAAGATAATCAATTAATAAACATTTATTAAGTATCTACTATGTATCAGCACTATGCTTAGTGCTGGGGATACAAAAAGGGACAAAAGATAATCCCTGATCTCAAAGAGCTTATAATCTATGGAGTAGACAACATGCAAACATATATACAAAGTGAGCTATATACAAGATAAATAGGACATAATTAAAAGAAGGTACTCATATACATTATTCTTTTTACACTTTTACAAAATATTAGATAATAATAAAAATATTAAAAGCTTTACAATTTATGGATGACACCAATTACATTTTTTTTCCTTGAAGGCAAAATTCTTGATAGTATTGATGCAAATGGTTTGACAAACAACACAATTGTGTACTTCACCTCAGACCATGGAGGGCATCTGGAGGCCATGAGAGGAAGGGTTCATGTAGGGGGCTACAATGGAATATATAAAGGTAAGAAGAGTGAAGAGTGTTGGAGGATTGTTTTAGGCTTAAACTCTTTGATGCTGTGTTCTTCTTGGTCAATAACTTAAGCAGATAGTAAAGCAAAGTGACCCAAATCAGCTAATGCTGCTATGGAAAAAAAAAAATCTTACTTGAATTCTGGAGGGGTTGGTTATAAGGAAGTTTTTCTAACCTGTTCTTATGAATGTAAAAAGGACAAGCACACACTTCTTCATAAAAGAGATTTTTTGGTGTAGACATTTCTTTTCATTCTTATACTTTAGGAAATATTGAAGGTAAAGAGTATGTAGGAAGGAGGATCAAGCAACAGGAAGAAGGGAAAAACAGGGAAAGGCATCAGTAGGGATGACTTCTGAGGATGCCTCTAATGATTAGGTGCAATCCTTGACCTAGTTTCTAGTGATAATAGGAAAATCAGAGCCCTGGAAAAGGAACATTGAGTAGGAGATAGAAAATGGCTAACTTGGTTTTAACTCCTGGAGTCATGCACATTGGATGTCATGTCATTGTTACTATTGTTGTTGTCGTATTTTGAGGAAAAATCCTTGATATTTGATGCCAATGGCTTAGAAACAGCACGATCATCCACCCCTTCCTTCCCTATCTCCTTGCAGGATATTATTTATTTGTAAAGTTTGGGACCCTTAAGGCATAGTAAGAGCTCACATTTCAACAGTGTTTTTCAATAGCACTTTTCTCAGAACAGCCCAGTGAACATTATTGTTGCTATTTGATAGAGGAGGAAAAAAGACTGGGGATCTGAGAGGTTAGATGACCGGTCTATGAACTATGGCACAGCTAGTTTCAGCCATTCAACAAATGTTAAGTGCTTACTGTATGCCACGCACCTTGCTAAACATCAGGGATACAAAGAAAGGCAAAAACACATTTCTGGATCTCAAAGAGCCCTCAGCTTCCTCATTTGTAAAATGGGGATAACAATAGTACCTACCTCCCAGGGTTTTTGTGAGGGACAATGAGATATTTGTAAAGCACTTTGTAAAAATTAAATACTAGCTGTTAGTATATTTTATATATATATATATAGATATATATATATACACATATGTATATATACGCACACAATATTATATGACAACAACAATAACAATAAGACAGGCCTTCTGCTTAAGGTAGGATTTGGGCTGTCTTCAGCCAGAATTCCAATTGTGGGCTGCAGATTCCTAGTGTAGCACTCCTTAATTATACCACATTACCTCCTTAGTTTGAGGTAACATATCAAAATGATAAAAACCATTAAAGGTCTTGAGATCTACTGACTCTGTGATATTTATAGTAGCTCACTCAAAAAAAAAATTCTCAATATCTCTAAGTTCAGAGATTCAGTCTATATAGTTGTTATGGTCCTGCTGTCTCCTCTGACTCTGAAACTAGTGGGGACATGTCTTTTCATTTGGTTACACTTGGGTTATTGCAGGGATAATTCCATTCAGGTACCCTCAGGGATAAAGCCTCTTTTCCAATCCTACTACCACCAGTGACCCCATTTTTTCTTGCATGGTTCTATTGCAATGGCTTATCAATCTCCCCATCACTGGCCTCTCCTTTTTTCAATCCTTTGGACACAGTACAGAAAGCTTAATTATCCTAAGCATTTTTTTGATGATATAAATCCCCAGCTGAAAGACCTGTAATTAGCTGACTGCTAATTTAAATCCAAATTCATTTTTTGGCATTCAAGCCTCTCTATGTTTTAGCTCCAACCTAACCTTTTCTTCCTCCACGCCCTTCAGCTTCATTATACTATGTTTCAATTACACTGGATTAGCAATTGTTTGAATAGACCTTGAGACATTTCCCATCTCTTCACCTTTATGTAATATTCCCTCTATCTGACTTTCAAAGTTTTATTCATCTCTCAAAGCCCAACTCAAATGCTACTTCCTTCATCAAGTACTGATTGTTCTTCATAGGATATGATCTATCCTTTGAAGCCTACTAAAATTTATGCTAATCTATGATTTTTATTATATTGTGCCTTGCATTATAGTTATTTGAGCAGTTGTCTTATCCCCTTACAAGTCAATTTAGTTAAACAAAGATTTCTTGAGTCTCTTATGCATAAAGAAGGAACTCTGCCAAATTCTGAGGATACAAAGATGAAAAAAAAATAAGACACATCTTTTTGATCTCAAGCAGTTTTCAATCTAATGGGGAATGCGCAGGAATGAAATATAGAGTTATATTACATTAGAAAATTAAATACATGGATAAGTCAGAGTAGCTTGAGAGTTTCAAGGGAGGGATATTTTAAGTTCCTCGAAATCAAGGACCAAATCTTATTCATCTTTGTAGCAACTGCAGCACCCAGCAGCAAACTACGTCATTAAATTGAACAGAAGGAATTATCAAATCAAACTTAATCAGTCAGTAAGCATGTAATAAGAGATTATAATGTGCCAAGAACTGTGCTAAGTACTGAGAATATGAAGACAAAAGTGAAAAAGTCCCTGCCTTCAAAAACTTTACATTCTAATGGGACAAACAACATGTAAACATATAAGTATATGCTAAATATATACAAAATGAATACCAAGTGGTTGTAGGAGAGAGGGCACTTAGTATAAAGGAAGATTGGGATAAATAAGTAATGAGGAATCACCAGAAGTTATGAGGAATAGATGGATTGGTTCTAGTGTCTGAAGGAATTCACTTGGACAGTCTCTAATTTAAAGAAAGGCATTTTTGGGGTGACACACCCAAGCAGTCCGTTTCCATGTGGGAAAAAACAGAGCATAGAAGGCAGGCACTGCCCCCCTAAGGGATGCAGAGCAATTGGCCAGGTTAAAGGTCTGGTTTAAATAGAATTTTACAGAATAGGAGGAACAGGAACCAGAGAAGGGAGAAGGGGATATCAGGGATATCAGGTAGTCTCAAAGTGCTTTTGTCATACAGATAAACAAAGAGAATAGAAAAGGGGAGGGGAGAGTTCTACTGTAATGTCAGGCTGATTGGTGGTACTTTGTGAAAGCACACAGCTAAGTCCATGGTGTGGGGCTTTCATGCATAGTCTTCTTTGATCACTTTTCTGGCTGGTCACACCCTGCATCTTATCTCATACGTCACATCTTGAGTCCTGCTTGCTCCATCTGTCTCCTTTCTGCCTCACCTTGTCGAAGGTAGAACTTAATCTGACCCTTGAAGAAAACCAGAAATTTCAAGACATTAAAGAGAGGACGTAATGTTCTCTACATGTAGGGGACAGCCAGTGTGAAGGCACACAGACAAGAAATGGAGTGTTGTGTATACAAACAGCAAAGAGTCTTGTATGGCTGAATTATAGAGTTAAGGGAGGATAGTGACTGAAAAGATAGGAAGAGGTCAGGTTATGAAAAGCATCATATGTCAAAATGAGAAGTTTCCATTTGATCCTGGATACAAGAAGGAGTCCCTGGAATTTACTGAGCAGACCTCTACTTTATGAAATTAAATTGGTAGCACTGTGGAATATGGATTAGAGTGGAGAGAAGTTTGAGGCAAAGGAGAATACATAAGAAACTGTTGCGATAGTGCAAATGAGTTGTGATGTAGGCCAGAACTAGGGTGTTAGTTGTGTGATTGAAGAGGAAAGAAAAGATGAGAAAGATTTGTTAGGCAAGAATTAACATATATGGAGCAATTGAATATGAGGAGTCAAGGAAGATACTGAGACTTCAAGCCTGTGTGCCTAAGGAGGATGGTGCTGCCCTGAGTGATATTAAAGAAGTTCAGAAGAAGCATGGGTTTTGGAGGGGAAACACTGAATAATGAAGGACACATAATTACCTATTAGATGTGTTGAGTTTGAGATGCTTCTGAAACATTCAGTGCTAAACATTTAATAACCAACTGGTGATGTGGGATTGGGGGACAAGAGAAAGATTAGGACCGAATATATGAATATGTGATAATAGTTGAGATAATAATGGAAATGTGATTGTCATGGTGATTGAAAGAGACTGCAGAGATAAATTGTGTTCTAGATTTCAATTAAGAGACATTAATTTCCTTCAACTTCTAAGATGGATCATTGTATGTAAGTTTTTTTTTCTTCCTTCTGTGGATTCAGGTTTGCACAACACAAAACTTTTCAGTCATCCCACATGATACCTAACTTTGATTTACAAATGCAAGCAAGGATGACCGCATAAAAATGTTGATTTTTTCTGTTTTTATTTTTGTTTTTGTATTCTAACAGTGTCTAATATTTCCTTTTCCTTTTATTAAGCAGGTGTTTGTAAACATGTTGCTTGTTTTCTAACAGACCTCTTCTCTATAACAGAAAAACTCAAAGCTTATGCCTTACTAATACCAGAACTGAGTAACCTATATTTTCATATGTCTCCATCTATGAAAGAAAATGAATTTCCTTCCTGAAGTACAGATCTGACCATGGCAGATAAACTCCCTATTGCCTCTATGATCAAATATGAAATTTTCTGGTTTCTTTGCCCCAGAAAAACTCCCTATTACCTCTATGATCAAATATGAAAATTTCTGGTTCCTAAAGACCTTTACGACCTACCTTCTTTCTACCTTTCCAGTATTCTTATGCTTTGCTTACCCTCAAATACTATGATTTTGCAACACTATTCTTGCTGTTCCTTGCCCAAGATTTTTCATCATTTTACTCCGTTCCTTTTCACTGTCCGTACCTTTTGCCTGGAATACTTTCCTTCCTTACCTTCACCAAATGGCTTCCTTAGCTTCCTTTAAGACTTTATTCAAATCTTAGCTTCTTCAAGAGGCCTGCTGTGGTCCTCCCTCACTGCTAGTGATTTCTCTCTGACATTACTTCCATCTAACCCGAATGTATTCTTTGTACAAAATTGTTTACATATCTCCCCAACTGGAATGTTAGCTCCTTGAAACCATGAACTGTTTTTGCCCTGTTTTGTATTCCCCATACTTAGTCCAGTGCTAGACATATATTAAGTACTTAATAAATGCCTGTTGCCTGATATTTGGAGATACACACACACACACACACAAGCCTACATGTATGTATGTATATACACAGGATGTCCCAAAAGTCTTAATGCTACTTAAGCTTTGTAAGCATTCTCACTGCTAAGAATATTTTAGGTGGATATGGTGATTTGTTTTTTAACATGTAGGTGGAAAAGGAATGGCAGGCTGGGAAGGTGGAATCCGAGTCCCAGGGATTATTAGATGGCCAGGAATGTTGACAGCTGGAAAAGTTATTGAGGAACCTACAAGTTTGATGGATATTTACCCAACTCTAGCTGCACTAGTAGGGGCAACTTTGCCTCAGGATAGGTAAGAAAAAATATCTAAAATACTCATCATCTTTACTTTCTCATAAAAGGAAATAAAAATTTTAAAAGTTTAGTTCTCTTCTCAAGACTTTCTTTGCCAAATATCTTGGTAGTTTTCTCTTTGCACATGGTTGTATCTATTGATTGTATAGACAGACAAGACATATCTGATTCCACCAACACAGGGAAGCTTTGCATAAATAGATCTTGATTCATTAATCATGTTTTTGTGAATCATTATGAAGATGAGAAAGTATAGGACAGATGAACATAGAAGATGAGACTAGCTCTTCTTGTATATGGGTAGATAATTATTCTTATAGTCTCTAATGTTCAAGATGCAAAGTCATTATGAAATAAGAAAAGGGGTGGTATTGGTGACCAACAACTAGTGGTTCTTCCAGTTCACTCAAGCTGGTTCTCCATGTTTCATCAGGAACTATCTTATGATACTTTTAAGTCCAAATAAAAAGTTGATTTCTTAACATCTGCATATATCCTTGACTTTTAAATAGAATTCAGTTGAAGGCAGATGTTTTTAAAGTTTTTTTTAACTTTTTTTTTTACTCATATCTAGGAAGTTATATTGCCAGAGAAAAATTAGATTGGTTCTGTTTTTGTTAATAGAACCATCTTCATTCATTCATTCAATATGTTGTGTATATTATATTACATTAAATTATAATTGTTTTAATAAAATAATTGCTACTTCTTTTAATAAAAAAATTTAGAATTATCTAGTCCACTAAGTAGGTCCATTATTCTAGGAACTAAGGTTTAGTATTTTTTTTGAATATTTATTATGGTAAATTGCATCTCTCCAGAAAAAAATCACAAATGTTTGTGCAATCTTTCTAGTTATAGAATTCATTAATTTTAAGATAAACTGTGACAAGTAGAAATTACTTTAATAGAACAAGAAAATCTGATGTGAATGTATTAAAGGAAAATAACCTCATTGTCTGAGCTAGGGGAAATCAGAGTAAATCACCAGGTTGTTTTTTTTTGTTGTTGTTGTTGTCCTTTAAAATGCTCATTAAATTTTTAGAATTTTACTTCTCTAAAAATATATTACTTTCTTTATTTCAGCATTAGTTTCAAGAAATTTGAGTTTTTTTAGAATTTTTTCAAGTGTCAAATTACATTTTCCAAGGAAATTTCCAAGGTTTTATATGTGTACAGAGGAATGATTTAAGTTTTACAATAATATCAGTATATCTACCTTGGACAAAATCTCTGACATCTCAAAATCTTTGAGAAATATAGGATTTTCTACCTAATGGTTGGTGTTCAAAAGTGGATTTTAAGTGTATTTTTCTTTCTTTCTTTTTTAAAAAATTTAGTTCAATTCCAAATGCTTTCCCTTCCTCTACCCCTTCCCCACTCATTGAGAAGGCAAGAAATGTGATAAAGGTTATTTTTCTATAAATGTGTACATGATTGATAAACACAGTTTGCAAGTAACATTCTGTAATGTCTGAAGGCTACATTTAAGATCACTATTTTATTTTTCTGAAACCTTAAATATTCCAAATAAAATCCTGCTTTTCTTCTACTATGTTTAGGTCCTAGTAGGAATAATGTATAAGAGAACACAATTGATTCCAAATTGGAAAAAAATTATTCAAGAAAAATTATCAGACATGGTTCATGACTGTGAAACTGCTCTTTTTGCAGACTTCAGAGATATTGCTCTAAATAATAATGCTGCTACAAATAACCAGTGATCCTACTGGTTATATATTGCCTCATATTCACCTCTGAAAATTTTATCAACATGTCTGTATCTAAGGATTCAGCGTGATTCAGAGGAAAAAAAGTATTGACTTTGGGAATAAGGTGACATAGGTCCAAACCTTAAAACTCCAGTAGCACCAACTCCAATCTTTCTTTGAAGGCCTGTTTTTATGTTTTATGTGTGACTATTCCTACATCGTTCTGGATAGTAGCACACATATAATAGCTTAAAGACTGAGCATGACTAATGTGTAACAGAGAAGAACAATTAGCAAATTAATAAATTAGGTTTCTATATATGCTTATATTAGGGGTTGAGGGAGGAAAGACTCACAACTTTGTCTCTTGTACCTCTTTCTCTATGTGCCTGATCACATTCTGATTTGTACTATGTTTATTTGTATGTATTGCATTCATGAGTCTTAACTCCCATGCGGGATTATAAAGTTATGCGAGGGCCATGCTTTATTTGTCTTTGTATTGCCTATAGTCCTCTACTAAAGTCATACTTTGATGAATCATTTGATTTGGAGATCACCTATGATTCTTGAATGCTATTGTATTAAATCATAAGCTCTAGAAGACTGCTGCACTTTGAGTATAGAGTTAGTGATGCCTGTGGTCCAAGGGTCAAACTTAGATAAATTTGGAAAAGATTGGCTCATGGCCAAAAAGTTGCTTGCCAGGTGGCGAGTTATTTTAGTGCAGAGGTGTAGCATGAGTACATAGGCTATTTAATGTTTATGTAGGATTTGCTATGTATGTTGATGGGAACAAATACTGACTTTTATGAAATCATGAATATTTTGATTCTACAAGAATTCCCCCCATGACAAACATCAAATAGTGGGCACTATATAAATGTTAACTGAAGAAAAAATAATCACTTATTAGTTTAAGATTCTGTGGTGTTTCAATCATAGGCTTTGGAATATATGAAAGTTTTCTTGGGAAATATAAATTGTGAAACTGAATGATTTTTATGGGAAATTGATTACATAGGGCTTTACTAATATCCACTAAGTTAATTAAGGTAGAAGGTCTCACTTAAAACAATATAAACAGAATTTTAATTAATCCATGGGTTAACTTTTCTTTACCGCAGTAGATACTACCCAGTATTAGTCTTTAAAGCTTATTTATCTTTACAATATATCTATATATGTATGTGTATTGGTAGGTTTCTATCATTTGTGTTTTTAATGACTGAGTCTGTTACAATAGCTTGTAATCTCCTTGAGGAATAGAATTACTTTCTTTATAATACTTTGATATTTCCAAGATTGTGAAATCAGTTCTTTTTGTTGCTGCAGAGTGATTGATGGACGAGATCTTATGCCCTTATTGAAGGGAGAAGTTCAACACTCAGAGCATGAATTCTTGTACCACTACTGTGGCCCATTTTTACACGCTGTACGGTGGCACCCAAAGAACAGTGAGTATTAAATATGCATGTAGTGGGAAATAGGCTTAAGGATCAAAATTCTGTTTCCACTCCTGGATATGTGACCTTGACTATGTTGCTTATACTCTTTGGGTGAGTTTTTTTTTTTTAAATTTATTTTTCTCTTCAGAAAAAACAAAGGGATTGGGTTGGTTGACCTCTGAAGTCCTGACCATTCTGAACATCGTACAATGTTACCTGATGCAATCCAACAAAAATATGTGTGATAACTTCTTTCTAAACTTCACACCTTCCTGAAAGTCGTTACAATTAGTCTAAGATGTAGGGAATATTTTAAAGTAATATTTGTTTTGAGGAATGGATCAAATCAATGCTATTTTGGGAGAAAATGAGATGAGAAAAGAGTTGTAGTTTTGTATCGAAGGGTTATTACCACAAAGAAGGAAATGATTTCCTAAGAGTAAGGAGATGATCATTTTATCAGTTTTGGAAAGGAGATATGTGAAAACAGTTGTACTTTAGACAAAAGACTAGCAGTGTCATATGTGGGAAAATGGGGAAGGTTTTACATATGATGTGGTTTCTCTAACAGAATATATGTGTTTTTTCCCCCTTGACCTTTAGGTGATGCCATTTGGAAGGTCCATTTTGTGACTCCAGTTTTCCATCCCAAAGGAGCAATAGGTTGCTATGATACCTTATTTTGCCCATGTGTAGGGGAAAATGTTACACATCATGATCCACCTTTGCTGTTTGAAATCTCAAGGGATCCTTCTGAATACAAGCCCCTCTCCCGAGACAATGAACCCATCTATGATACAGTGATAAAGACAGTAAAAAGAGCATTGAAGAAGCATCGAAAGACACTCACACCTGTCACAGAGCAACTTACTTTGTATAACAAAGATCTAATATGGCTGAAGCCATGTTGTGGTGTTTTCCCATTCTGTCTGTGTGATAAGGAAGTTGGAAATTTTACTATGTAATTATATCTAAAAATATAATAAGATGCTTCCCATTAAAAACTGCTTCTTTCAAAATTTTATTGACTAATAACTAGCCTTCCAGTAAAGTTACAACTTATTCAATAACTTTAATATTCAGGAGCAGCATGATACAATGGGTGGAGTGCCCAATTTGGATTTAGAGACCTACTGGGTTCCTAATTCTGGGTTGCCACTAACTACATGTATAGGCTTGGTCATGTGTCTTAACCTCTCTGAGTCTCAATTTCTATATCTATAAAATGATAAAATTCTTTTAAGATCCCTTCTAGATTGAAATGAATGATCTCATGATCATGTGACTTTCTGTTCACTCACTGACACTTTTGGAACTCTACTAGTGAATGACCATTAGACTTTACATTTTGCTTTCTCAAAAATGTGATGAATTCAAAAGGGGCAAGAATTTCTAGTTATTGGTTTTTTTTTTTGTGTGTGTGTATATGTGTGTCCTCTGCAAAATACTCATCCATACATAACTGTAAAAGGTTTTTAAGATGGTAAGAGTAAAAGTAAATAAGAGAGTCAATAAATAAGCAAGATACAAACACTATTACTACAAAATATTTAAAGGAATCAAAGAAAATCAAAAGAAAATCAAAGAAAATCAAAGAAAAACACCAACTCCAAGTCCTCTTCCAAATGACTGAGAATGCCACCTCTCCTCAAAAAGTATCTAACACATACAATGCAAAATTGGTCTTAGAAAAATACAACTACTCCAAAGCAATGTTAAGAAATAATAACGTTGCTAACAAATTGGGATGCCAAAAGTACTTTGATGCAATTAAATTTCTTCCATGAAGAGAAAGGTGGGCAGTTATATTGCTATTAACATGGGTAGCACAAATATCTATTTCTGTGGCTGTTTTCAATTCATGTTGGTACTTTAATATGGACAAAGGAATTTTCTTTCACACAAGTGAGAGAGGGAAAGAGCTGTTGGTACCTATTGAGAACTAGAAGGAACAAAGAGTGCAGCTGAATAATTTCTTCTTCTAATTCTTCCTTTAAGTTGTCAAAATCAACTTTGTCATGAATGTTTTCTATTATTTCTTCTTCAATATAATTTTGTTAAAACTAGAAGGAACCACCAACCTCCTTATTTAAAAGATGAAGAAATGAGAATCCAGACAGGCAAAGTGATTTCTTCGAGGACACAATTAGTAAGTGGCAGAAGCAGGAGTAAGGCATAAGAGTAGGACATATACTCTTGAATATAGTATTCAATTGTTTAGCAACACTATGATTTAGTATTAAAAACATTAATCTGGGTCTGGCATTAATCTCATCTCTGCCATTAACAAGTGGCTTTGTTATCTTGGGCAAAATAATATGAGAAGAAGCAGTGGGGTGTCGTCAAATGGCAACAACTCTTGAGTTAGAAGACCTGGGCTCATCTACTGCCTGCGATACTTACTGCCTATGTGATTTTGTAAAAGTCATTAAGTCTTCCTGGGTCTGTTTCTTCATTTTTAAAATTAATAAGTTGGACTAGATGGTCTCTGAGGTTCTTTTCTAGCTCTCAGATTATAATGATACTTTCCAGGCTCCAATTTTCTCATTTGTAAAATGAGGAGGTAGAAAAGATGATCTCTCTGTGTTCCCGTCCAGATAATTATTGAATGCTTAATTTTTAGGCATATGAACAAAAATATTTCCATGCTATTAATTCTCAAGTAAATCAATAATTACCCCTTTACATAAAGCTGTTATGCTATTTTAAACTTTCAGTATTTCCCCCTGTTGTCTTATATTATCTCCTCAACTAAAAAAAAATGCAATTTCATTATTATTAGTTTATCCTATCCATAAAATGAAAGTATAAAATATTTTCTTCATTTAATGTAAGTTCTGAGAATTTCTGCTTATTACAATGCTATGTAATTTATAGAACCAGATGTAAGTTTTAACTAACTTTAATTTTACCACTAGAGGGCACAATGGTATAGCATAGGAGAGGGGAACTGGTAAAGAACTAAAGAATTTAATTTTGTTTGCTTTTTAATCAGGAGCATACATTTAAATTACAACCCTCTGAAATAAAATTTTGCAACAAACCCTCCCATGTCTCCACCCATTTCATGAAATGCTTTTGTGTATGCTGGTGGAATACCTGAGACCCCTGGAGAGATATCTGTGGTGTGGTGAAAAGAATGAGGGATTTAAAGTCAAAGGATTAAGTGCCTGAGTAGGAATCCTGGCATTGTCACTAACTAACAACGTGACTCTGAATAAATCACTTCACCTCTCTGATAACCAGTTTCTTTATTTTTAAGTACAAAAAGGGATGATAGCTAGAATTCTTTTAAACTCAAAAACCTACGATCCATAATTGATTCTCACCCATCTCTAAGCAATATTGTAAATAAAAAGATGTTGGCTTATCATAAGGAAGAATTTCAATCAGTCTCTTTCTTCTTGTCTGGTTACCAAACTCCCTGGGACATATGCGCTGCCACTTATGTATGCTGTGAAGAAGGCATCCTGAGGCCCCACAATACACAAGAACAAAGCATCCATAAGAAGAAAGGGTGATATTGAGACTTCTGATAGTTTACCTTTCCCAGTAGACCTCTACTTATCCTTTCCAACTCTATCTGGATTAATTCTCCAAAGTTATTATACTCCCCCTCTCTCTAGTGTCCCACATTCCAAACACATATATGCAAACATATATATGCACATACATAAATATATACATATATGCACACATACACACATATTGTATGTACATATATGTATGTATATATAATTATATTATATGTATATATAATCCCAAATATAATAGGAATTTTATATGTCATGGACATAGAAATAGAACATTTGCAAGTGATGGCAAGGTGAAAGGTAAAATCGTTGCTATGTGTAAACAGAGGAGTAGGTCAAGGGAGCTGAAAAGATTGAGAAACTGAGAGGCTAAGATTTTTGATGGAATGTTGATATTTTTGATGATGGAATACATACATATACAGGTATGTTTTTATGTATTTCATCAAACACATACACACATATAACGTGTCTAATTATAAACAATATAGCTATTTACATAGAGAGAGAGGGAGAATATATAGTTCTCAAATGTAAGTATATATATATTTAAACATCCTATATAGGGTATGTGTACATATTATGTATGTATGTATGTGTATATATTTATGTAATATTACACATATTCCATTAGATATCTTATTCCATCAAAGATCTTATTCTAGCTTCTCAGTTCTACAATCTGTTTATCTCCTATGGCCTACTTCTTTACTCCTAAGCTTACATGTAGGGATGGTCATAACCAACATCTTTCCATCATTCACAAGTGTTCCACTTCCATATTCATGATCTGTGAAATTCTTATTTCTTATAATCATTTTTCACTACATCTTTCTCTATGCCTAATGATCCCTGACCCAATTCTTTTTTCTCACCATGACATCCAGTCCTTCTATCTTCCAATACTTTCCCTGGCTGTTACTCCTGTTCTTGCTCTATTCTTTCTTTCCAATTGCTACCCCTTTTCAAAGTACTTCAATATACTATATTATCATATACTCTCAAAATCCCTCCCACTTTGTCATATAACCAATCACATCCAATTCTCAACCTTGAATTCTCCTACCAGTCTACTTGCTTTGTCCCTATTCACATGCAACAGGAAATAACAAAAAGCACATTGCCTTAGTCCACTACAAAATTTATAGCATGTAATCTCGTTTGGGCTTTTGTGGGAGCAAGGCAATCCAGCAATCCATCTAGTCCTTCCTAATCAAGTCTTTATCTCACTCACCAGAGTATGTTTTCCAACCTTCTCCTCTCTCTTCAAACCTGTCACCACATCCCCTCCTTCCATACTCTCTGCTGAGAATCTTACTTCATATTTTGCAAAAAAAAAAAAAAAAAAATGAGGTCATTCACCCAGAGTTCTCCATTCTTCTCTTTTCCCTATCTTATATACCCCTAATATCATTCCCTCCATCTTCCCCTTTATTTCAGTCTCTACTGAAGAAATGACTTTTTCTTTGTTAATGCATATCCTATATGCAATCTTGATCATTTATCCTTCCATCTTCTCCAGTAAATTTCCTCCCATTTTCATTATGCTGTTCCTTTTTTATCTTCAATTTCTCTTTATCTGCTGGTTCTTTCCTAATTGCTTTTAAAAATGCCCATGCCTCATCCAACCTTAATAAAACTCTCACTAGATCCCATTTTTTCCTCAAATTATTACCATCTATCTCTCCTCCCATTCTAAGATAAACCCTTTGGAAGAAGCCATCAATACTTGGTGCCTCTATTTCTTCTCCTTTCATTGTTTTCTAAACTCTCTCTGAACTAATTTCTGATTTCATCATGCAATTAAAACTGCTTTCTCCACAGGTATTAATGATCCCAATGGTCAAATCAAATGGCCTTTTCATTTTATTGACTTAATTTTTTTTCCCCAGCACTTTATGCTATTAATCATCTTCTCTTTGATTAATTCTCCTCTATGGGTTTTCATAACATTGACTTCTCTTCATTTCTCCTCCTACCTGTCTGACTAATATTTATTCTCCTTTGCTTGTTCTTCATTCACATCATGGAAATTTACTATGGGTACTTCCAAGGATCTATCCAGGTGCTGTTGTCTTTTTTCCCCCTCTATGTTATTTCTCATTAACTCCAATAAGTTCAACTTTCTTCTCTATCAATCAATCAAACAATAAGTATTTATTGTTTACTGTGTATCAGGTACAGTGCTAAGTGCTGGGTACAGAATTACAAAGTTTGTAACAATCCTTGCTCTTAATGAGCTTATGAGGAGAAATTAACAAGTACTTATATAAGCATATATCAAAAATATAAAGAGAACCAATGCAAAATAGTTAATGGCAAATCAGTTTGAGATTCAAGGCGCTAATAGTTGGAAGGATCAGGAAATACTCTACAAAGAAGGTGATTCTTGTGCTTCATATTGAAGGAAGAAAGGTATTTCACACATATAT